TGTTTGCTTGTTGAGCAATAATCTCATCCCAACTTTAAATGATGGTGATTGAAGAAGATTCTAGTTGGTGAAGATGAAAGAATTTGCAGTTTTGGACCAAAAGAAAGGGTCCCTTTTAGAGAATCCTGACAGTAAAAGAGTATTAAAGGCATAAGAGAGTATTAATTATTTAGTTCCCATATGTAATGGGAGAAGAAAAAGATGAAAAAATGAAACAGTACTGTTTAAGTGTCTATTGAAGTGGCCGGCTTGACACATTCTTTTGAAGTGACATTGTTACCCTCTTTATAACCCATCTAATCAGCTATCACTTACAAACTAATCGGAGACTATATATAAACATCAAAGGCATGCAGGAAACAGAGGTATAGGCTATTAAGTGAGCAGTAAAATACATTCACTTTTTATTGAAAAGACAGCGCCATTGTTGTTCAGGCTGCTGTATTTCTACTACATTTATACATGAACTGCTAACCGTTTCCCTTGTCACAACTGTTACCAATTACCATCGTTTCCTCTCTCTCTTACCTAGGCACAAACTGTCTCTCAAAGCCAACAGGCAAATTTGATTGATTCACATAAGAAAAAACACGAGGGCGAAAGAATTGAAGAAAGGACAAGTAGTCTAGGATTTTAGTGTGATTCGTTTGGTCTTGTACGGCTCTAAGCTCCTATTCTGTTTATATACACACAAGCTTCAAGAGTTTGCATGTATGTGAAAATTCAAGAGAGAAAAAGAGAGGGTTCCTTTCACTATTCATAGCAAATTCATTTCCTTTTCTATCTTTGTTAGACACAAGGGGAGAAGGTTGTCAAGCAAAACACATTTTTGTTGTTTGGTTGGAGAGAAAGAGTGTGATAATGAATGCATCAGCTTCACAATGTGGTAGTGGCTGTGAGTCTGGTTGGACTCTCTACTTAGATCAATCCTCTTACTCTCAAACTAGGTGTCAAAAGTTTGGTGGGAACTTTGATGAGGATTATGGAGGGAAAGGAGCTAGATTCGTGGTTGAAGACGATGAGGAGGACTTATCCATGGTGTCTGATGCATCTTCTGGTCCAAGACATTATTGCGAAAATTATGAGGAATGCCTTGATGAAAATGGGAGCTTCTGTTCTGCTCCTGCAGCCCCTGAACCAGCTAAGAAAAGCAGCAAAAATAAAAAGAAGATCAAAGAACATAGTAGCAATCAAAAGCATTCTTATCTTGATGACACTGCCAGCTCCCCTGTAACAAGCTTTTCCAATGCAAGTTCCACATCCTGACTACAATATTCTTATAACTGTCTATATACTAATATACCTGTCTTTTCATTTGTAACAAAATAAAGCAATAATGGGTGCTCTTGGTGTATGTTTAGAAGAACTTCAAGAAAGAAGCTTCAATAGATCTGTTGGACTTTTCACAAGGTTTCTCGGGTACACATTTTAAGGTACCAAGTAGTAACTTTCTCCTTCTTTAAAACAGTTTGTCTTCCATTATTATATATATTTTCTCCTGAATTGAAACTTAGCTATGCCACCTGTGAGCTTCTTTCAGGGTAAATCGGCATTCCAGAAAAAAATTGGTTTCCTGAAATCTGGAAAAGGTTCAAAAGATGCAGGTTAGTCTTTGCTTTTAGCTACCCATAGATATTCATATTCTTCTCGGGAAATTTCGGCATTTAGAATATGATGCATCTGTGACCTAAAAAAGGATATTTGATGGTTAGATATGCCTAATTTGTATTGTATTAATCTCTTGGAACAGGTGGCTTCCAGAAAAGAAGCTGGGAATGACAAAAGGGTAACCTGCAACAGCTTTTGTCTCTACTACTGCAGCTTCTCTGGAGAGAGAAATGGGAGGAATGTGTATAAAAAGGCCTTAGATTTCAAAGGGATCTTGTTCCTTCCTTTTTATTCTTGTTTTCTTTTCCTTTTTTATCCAATTCTACTTTTTATTTGTTCCTGTCAATGCAATGGGAAACAACCTGAGAACATTATTAGTGATAGTCACTTATGAAAATTGTAGGTTTTCTCCCATTTATTTTCTAGAGATCATCATGCATAGACCATGTAATTGATGGTGCCCCATACAGTAGAATCTGATTTTATTAGCACATAATCTATTTCTTCAGGTTTATCCAGCTTAGAGTGTAATATCTAAAACTAGTAATTCCCTGAAGGAATGTTCTGCCGACCATTATTTTCCCCTTGATTGTATGGAACACTTGAAATTTTGAATGCTGAACTGAGAATTCGCGGAATCCACAAAAAAATTTGCTGTTCAAATTTCAACGGCCTTTAATTTGTTGTTCAAATTTCAAAACTGTCAGAAAGACTAGTCTCTATCTTTTTTAAAAAACCGTTCTGGCAGAATGATAGAAAGGCTTATGAACAAAATTAACCCTGGAAACTTTATATTTAACTCAAAAAAAAAAAAAGATCATTACAGAAAATAGCTGTTGTCCTTGGATGGACAGGTTGTCTCTGCATTTGCCATTAATCAAGCGAGTACCTTGTAGCCCATTTGTGCCCATCCAGCCACACACCAAACACAAAAATTGAAGAGAGTACAAGGCCATTATAAAAGCGTACCAATCCGGAAAATCCCAGATGGCAGCAAAAAATGACCCACCATTTTCCATTTCTGCAATTGCCAGCCTAGCTCAAAACTAGGTGGGGTTGGTAAATTTGGTAACCTATGCTTATTCCAGATTCAGAACAGACAAATATTTCAGATGGAAGGAAGCAAAAGGCAAGCTTCATTTTCCACCAAAAGGTCCCAAAAGCACCAACCCATCACCCCTAACTAAGTAGCTATCAACCAAGAACGTGATCCATACATAATAGTGATACAATTATTGAATATTGTTTGGTGGGTTTCCTTTCAAAATCTTTTTAGTGAAGCTGTTTTCCAAGGCCATCCTGAGAATTAGAAAGCATATCATATCTTGGAAAGGGAGTTGGACCTTAGGAAAAGGACAATACTTCCTCTCTTGTCCTTTCAGTCCTTTCTTGTTCATTTTACTTTGATAAAATAATATCTTAGTGTATTCACTTTTAAGGTTAATGTCAACTACAAAACACGATAAAACCAACGTTGCAATATTTCACATTAAAATCACACTTAGCATGGATTTATGGTCGAGAACTCGAGGCATATATACATGCACTGTATTACACAATTTTTTTTTATCTTATGAATCATAACTTCTCAAAAATGTCTGCAGTGCTGCTATATCGTCCTGTCAGTAGCTTTCAGATATGAAGACAGGACCTGGGAGGGAAGGCATGGCAAGTGGGTTTTGCTGTTCCGAAACTCCGCTGCAATTGGCTTGAAATTCAGAATATCTTCTGCAAGCTGGCAGAGAGAACTCCAACTTACCCTAAGACTAATCTAGTACTGTAACTAATAGGTTCTTTCTTTCTTTCTTTTCCCATTTCAAGTTAATTTTAACAAAGCCAAAAAAATAAGGAGAAATTGCACCGTAAATCCTGAAAGTTCAGCGAGGATAAAATGATAACTAGATATACATGAGAAGATACAATATACTATATCAAACTTAATATATTTTTTAAAAAAGCTTGTAACATCAAAATATTAAAGTAATATCAATCACATTAAGAACTTTTCTTGTTCCTTTTATTTTTAAGGAACTATAGTATCTAACAGGGGTGATAATTTTTGTTTGATTATTTCGATTAATGCATAATATTATAAATTTTAAAATCGAATTCAAATCCGAACAGATTTTTAAAAAATAAATAAATTAATTTGAATTAGATTTTATCGGTTTGATTATATTTTTTAAAATTAATTATTTTTAATTATTTTTACTATTATTTTTATATTATTTTAAATATATTTAAATAAATTTAGATATAAAATAATTATTTTTATTTAATAAATATTTAAAAAATATAGAAGTGTTTTCTTTTGCTATTGAATTGCTGTTATTTTATTCACATATTGGTTTTGGCTGCCATGGGAGGGAAATGTTTTGTATCTTACCAATCAATAAATATCTATATTTTGCTGGTTCAGCTTTGATTTAGACAATGTTTCTTCCTTGGTCAGTTTTGCAGGGAAAGAAACATTGAGATGATTGGCTTTAGCCTTGAAGATAATGCCCCTGGGTCAACAGACTCTCCATTGATGATGAGAAAGATCTTAACATTTACAATTTATTGGGTTGTTGTGCTTTCTTTTCATGATAGAATGTTTATGTTTGCTTTGATGTGCATAGCTTGTCTAAATTTCCAGCATGCTTCATGTAATTGTTGCATTTGCCCCCTCTGATCTTTCATATATCCCTCAAAATTACTGATAGGCAGATGTATAAGCACTGATTTTGTCTTTTTCCCTTTCTCTCAAATTTCCTTATGTATATTCTTTTGTGAAAACCAATCACTTTTCAAATTATGTTTATGGCATCCAATATTTTGTTTCATAGGTTACACTGTTGTCTTGGGAATGCATTGTGATAAGATATTGCTTTATATTTAATTGAGAGCTTTGTGGGTGATCATGTGGTGTATTTTTCTCATGGCTCCCTCATCATCATAGCCTTTAACTTTCTTGAAACAACTTCATTGCTGAAGTATGGTTCCACTGTTGCATGTACTGTTTGGTTGGTGTTAGAAAATAAAATTGAGTTATATTTTAATTATAAGGTTATAACTAATTATACAATAAGTATTAATTAATATACATGCCATAGAAGTAAAAATAATGAAAAGAAATGGCTTGAAATGCCAAATAGAAATATGTTATGCTTGAAATGGCTTTGGTTGTGTCATGGTCTCCAAATAGTTTTTAATGTATATGCAAGTAAACGATGAAAAATATAATATTTAATGTCTACATTTATAATTTTATCAAATCTATTTGAGATTATTAAAATGAGCTCAAATACAAAATGAAACTCAATAGAACTCAAATTGAGCTTTCTAGCATTCAAATTTGATAATATATTAACTCGATTCAGCTTAGATATATCCCAACAAGATAATCGAACGCACATAAATTTGCATTTGCATCAATTTTAGTATAGAGCTTCTTTTTGGCCCGGAAATTTCATTATTTTGGCATGCAATTCTATGTCAATTACATGATTTATATATAATATGAAAAAGGCTAACTAGTGCCATATATTATATAGAATAACATTTCATCAACTGTTGGTATTATTTGATGTCCCTATTACAAAGGCTGTTCAGATATCCACCTTTGAAACATTGCCAGACATTCTGCAGGCTTGTACTCAGGAGCTGTGTGCCCTCCTCCCTGCAAAATCAACCGAATATGTAAGAAGGAAAGAAAATGAAAACAACCGATTTCCTTTAATTAAATGACCTTTTTTTTTCTTTATAGGAATAAAGAAATGAAACAGAAACTGAAAAGCTTCCTTGCCTTGACAGTGGCAAATGTCATCCTGTTAGAATAAGTTCTTGTATATCTGCAGAATGTGGTCATCCAAAATCCCAAGTTAGCTTCTCTCCTAAAGATCATAATTTAAAATAAATAAAGAAAAAAAATCCCAATGATCAGCAGATTGACCCTGCAACTTGGCCTTGTAGTATCCATGGCCGCCAATCATCAACAATTGTATAGTTCAGAGATCTTATCCATGCTTGAGTTGACAAGAATGGCACGAGCAGGTCATGGTCGCCACTGCATTAAAACCAAAACGATAACAACAATTCAAATGTACCAAGTAAAAAATAAAATAAATTAGAGTCATCTCAATTCATACCTGTATATTAAAGCGCGGTAGCCTCTGGCGCTGAGGTTTGCATGATACTGAAAGCTGCTTAGAACATCGATGTTATAAGGTAATCCTAAATTGCAGCGCAGCCATTGTCCTATGCTTCCCTGCATCAGATCAGAAGAGTTGCTTCTTTATTATATTCTCTTGCTGTTTCAAACACCAGTTTTTTTTTTGTAACAACAAATCAAAGTCGTACGTTTCTAATGTGGAGAGCTTTTCGGACATTATCATCGTTAGCCCAATAATAAGATAGCAAGTATGAGTAAGACTGCAGGCAAGAAATTAAAATCAATCAAAATAGAGTGCAGGAGAACGGTTAGGTGCCTATATATAATAGTGAGCAGTTTAGGAGAACGTGTAATTTACACGACAGCCAACTGTAGGGAGCGGTGGTGGGTCTTGTTCATCGTCGAGGGGTTTTTGATCATGGTGTTCATCTAGATAACGCCTTGTACCGATCTCTTGTGGCTTCGGGGAGGCGAAACCGCAGATAGGTTCCAAAATTTGGCCAGTTTGAATTCCTGAGATACACTGAGAAATGCAGAATTGAAATAGGAATCAAATTATAAATAATGAATCAGAACCGGAAGAAAACAACAAAAAAAGATGTTTTTTTTTTTAAAATTTATAAAAAAAAAAAAAATCCGGGCATATACCATGGAGAAATATTGAATATCTTTCCGGCACTCCTCGTTACTGGGATCTAAATTTTGATAATCTTCCTCACAATTTCTCTTCAATGACTGGAAAAGGTCCATAAAACTCATTGCTTAATAACATCCTTTTCTTGCATCTTTTTGGGACATGAGTGGCAAAATTTGGAGAAGAGTTTGAGGGATTAGATTACTGCACCTCATAGAGTTCATCAGAAATTAGTCCCATTCCGTGAACATATGGAATCTGGAGGTTGGCTTCGAGATTTGGCTCTGTTTTGGGATTCCCCAGTATGTATCCCTGAAAGCAATCAGAATCCATCGCCTCACCAAATACTCATTAATGTTGTTTGTTAAGGACATTAAGGTACATGTTTTAGAAATCCATTCTAGTAAATTATAAGCATTAGTGGGACGGTGTGTTTGCATTTATTCTCAAAATGGAACAAGAGGGAGGACACAATTCCAAACCTGTAGGTTAATCAATGGTCTGATACCTTCTTCATTTCCTGCATGGTTATATGAAAAGGTAAAAAGACTACGTTCATCTTCACAAGATATCAAATTTCTTTTTCAATTTATAGCATTTACCATTTGAGATCTCTTGAGCAAGGATTGGGATAGGAATGCCAGAATACGAGTCCCCACAAACATAAACTGGGCTTGAAATGAAGTTTGGATGATCCACCAGCCACTTCAAATTGGAAAATTTTGGTTCAGATCTACTTAATTAAAGTCTATTGATGAAAAATTTTTTGAACCTAGTCAGAATTGCTTAAAAAAGATGTGGATGTACCTTCCTAAGAAATTGGTAAAGCTGATGAACTTGTATGAAATCACCGGTCCTTGCAGCAAGACTGTTTCTTGCATAGGAGAATCCTGTACCAACTGGTGAATCTATAAATATGATGTTAGACACCTGAAAAAAAATACAGTTCAGTATTTTCCAAACTTTATTCAGAAATCTTAAAAGAAAGAACAAATGAGAAAAGGAAAAGGACACTTTTTCCTGTCCAGTAAATCGCATAATCACCTTTGTCCATGAGTATGGATTCAATACCAGTGTCGGCAAGCTTCCGTTGTACTCCACGTCTGCCTTGAAATTCAATGGACCTGCAATATTATGAAAAATGCTCAGACCTTACGAAATGGTTTTGTCAATTTGATTACCTTATATCGACTTATCATCTAACATCTGATGCAATTTTACATAGTTCCCTTTGCGGACTAAAACTGTTGATTAATACGAAATGGTCATGTCAGAAGTGTCAAGTAAGGTACAACTAATTAACGCAATGCTACTCATGTCGAATATGGCTGTCTTACCAATTTCAAAAGCAAGACCTGAGAAGGCAGAGCAGCCAGGGCCACCACTCAACCAAAGCAGAAGAGGGTCCTCCTCAGGAACTCTCTCCGACTTTACAAAGTAGTAGAAGAGCTGAATATCCCCTGCTTCATCCACACCCACATATCTGACAAAAACATGCACATAACTATTATATCAAAGAACTATCTTTACGACCAAAAAGTGCAAAAATTACCACAGATATTCATTAGATTACCCGGTTTCAAGCTCAAAAGGGAGAGGCCCCTCAAATCCAGGAAGAAACTTGACAGCAGAATGAGCAAAAGCGAGCTTTGAGCAAACCTGAAAAAGAAAGAACAAAAAGAATAGCAGAGCCATCTTATTTTGTATTGCCATTGATTTAGCTATCCTATATAGTGTGGCATTGAGGACATAGGATAAGCATTTGACACAAACGAGTGGCCAACGTCCATGAAAGCAGCAAAGAAATTCAAAGAGGATGACAGTTGATAGAGAATCCAGACTTCTCAGTAAGGACTGCTTGTCTGTATTTGTATTTATGTGAATAGAGTCAGTGGCTACGGTTTACTTGACCTTTCATCGGACATCTTAAAGGATATGGTGACAAAATTGAAGTTAAAGTACTCCGAAAAACACTTCTGAAATTACTGCTACATCGATCTTCCTCTGTGGTAAGCTTGCCATAATTGAGATAGCAACTCTTCCACTTTAGGCCATGACATGTTTATTATTTAAAAATTTTTTTTTTCCTGTCAGTCTATGAAATGTCATTTAATTGTTGTGTTTTTATATCATTGTTAATCGAAAGAAAAAGCACACCATTTTCATAGTTGTTGTTGTAAACCACGGGCTGCTTGGAATCGAATTGATCGATTAGTAACCCCGCATATAGCCTAATGGTGACATCCCATTACCAGTTGATGAGATTTATGTTTTTGGCCCATAGTTGGAATTTACAAACAAGCCATTGAGCTTCGAAGGCCCAAACAAAACAACGTAGAAATTTGGAATTTGCTTTGGCCATGTTCACTATTTTTCCCATTTTTATTAATAAAATCATTCTCAAAGTTATTTTCAAAAAAAAAAAAAAAAGAAAATCATTCTCAAAGGAAAGTCATTCTTGGTAACCTTCCATTCAAGATGTAAAAGATAGACCCCAAGAGAAACCTGAATAAGAAGAACGAAAAGCCATACCCAGAAAAAGAAAGAAGGAAAAATATTATTATGCATGAAACCCGTTTAACTCTGTATAGACTAGTGATAGAAACTACTTTGATTCAAACATGAACCCTAAACAATTCCATTAACCATACTATCATAATTGAAAACAACTTTCCAAAAAAGATCTCAAAACAACAAAAGAAGTGAAACAATAAAGAGAGAAAAGAGAGGTTCTTTTGCTTCCCTTTATATGCAATTACAGACAGAATCAATAGGAATCAAAAGAAACACTTCTTCTTGTGACAGAATAGCTTTTGCTTCTCGGATACAAAAAATCTTGCTTCTTATCAACAACAACAGCATCATTTTCTTCAAATTCACAAGGCTTGTCTTCATCAATTCTTCCCATCCCTATACTGCAACTCTTTGGCAACCCTTTTGATCCCATCTGTAACCTCAATTGTTGTTGCAAAAACATCTCCACTTCATTCCTATGACCCAAGCTCCTAACAGATGCAGCTCTAACAAGCTCTCTAAGATCTTCATTGTCGTTAGATGTTGTTGAGCTTGTACTAAAGCTCCTCGGCAAGCCTGAGTATTGCCCTGTGTAGTCCGCCGAGCCTTGTCCACAGCTGACCCTTGAAGCACAACTTGTTAAACTTCTAACATAAAGATCCCTAGCTTTTCCTAACGCTCTAAAGGGAACTGTAATGAACCGCACGAACTTGTTATGGCTGTATCCTTTGCTTCTCATACTACAATTTTGAGGTATAAAATCTGGAGATTCGATGTTTGGAAAGTGATCCAAAAATGGGGTTTGACAAAAATAAAAATAAAAAGCTTGGAAAAGAATTCCGAGGAGAAGAGTTAAGTATCGGAAGCCTTTTTTAAAGTCGTTGAGTAGTAATTACTAATGGCAGGCCGAGATGCTGTTGGATTTGGACTTTTCCAAAAAGCACGCAGGATTATACAAAACCATTAGATACGAACAAATATGTGGAGTGTGTCATGGCATTGAAAAAACAACAGCCGTATATTGAAGAATTTGACTGCCAAAAACTCATGAGAGCTTCACTTTATAATGCAAGCCGCATTCACATTCCCATCTGGGCCTAGTTTTCAACCGGCTATACCTGACCTGCCTGCCTCGAAGACCCTTTTAGTCTCTGCTAGACATTTTGTATTAATGTTTATTCTCTTAAATCTTAACTCGCACCAAATAAAGATTAAAAAAGTTTGGAAGATTATTCCCGTGACAATGAAATAATGAACCTACAAATAATTGATTAAACTAAAATAAAAGAATAGGGACAAGTACATATGACCAAAATATTTCCAAGAAAACCCAAGCAACCCATGCCTTACACAATTATTTGTCAATGCAATAAATGAAAAGGAAAGGAAGTTCAAACATACTTTTCATTTATATAAAGGACAAATAAAAAACAGCTTATTTTTACTAATAGTAATAATAGAAGAATAGAATTATCATATAGTACTAGTATCTTTCAAACTTTGAATTGAATTTGAACCTAAAAAACCACCTCTTTGACCCATACATAACTTTATAATTTAGAAATACAAAAATGTAACTTCGGTTTTAATATTAAATAAACAAAACAAAAGTATCTAATACAGTACCATTAAGGTTAGAAGGTTGTTAAATACTTCATTAAAATGAATCCAAAATTTAACCCAATTAATTAATATAATCATTTTTTAAAAAATAACTTTTTTTTTTAATTTTCAGATTACAACAATTTCATTAAAATACAAACAGATGCTTACTTGAAATAAAATCAGACAGGCTTAGAAGGAAACGTTAAAGCCCATTATTTGGCCCAATGGTGATTAATAATGGGCTTTACTGACCCAATATGCTCAATAAAAGAATCCCTTAAGTACTAACGGTCCGCTCATCTGCTCCGTTAGTCTTCGACTTCTCCACCTGCTCTGGCTGCTATCGCTATTGCCATTGTCATTGCCTTTGCTAAACGGTATACAGGTTGAATGTAATTGGACTAAATATATATTAATTATTGAATTAATGGCACTTGGAACGTGCGGTGCAATAAAGCTAACCAAGGCACTAGAGTCACTATGGGGCTGATGAGAAAAGCCAACCACTTAAGGTGATAAGAATCAGTGGGATTTCTCATACTTCAATGATTGAAGATAATGCTGCACTCGATGAGATAATAGGGCAAATTTCTTCACTTAATTCCCTAGGCTAAGGTCCAAATTGGGTAGAGCAGAAACAGTCAGACACTTGAGTCTCCAAATTGGAGAGTAACACAAACTTTCAGATATTCCATTGTTTAATTAAAAGCAGGCTTAGCACTTTTAGAATCAATTCCAAAAGTTCGGCTAGGGAAAGTAGGATAAAAAGTTATGTTGCCTTAAGCCAAAGTCCAGTCCGAGCCAACCCATGGTCGCTTATATTGGTTCTTAGAAGAATACCGATTTGTTATCTTGGTCAAGTTCCAATAATTTAATGAGAGTTGAGGCAGAGGGAAGGTGGCAGAGAACCAGAGATGCATGGTTCCCACAGGCACGTGTCGGGTGCTGTGATGGACGACGTTAATTGTTCTTCAAAATATTTTGCAAGGGACAGTAACGTCGTTTTAAGTTAAATCATTGTCTAACTGGTCAATTAAGGATATATTTTATGTATAAAATTATTGATAGGGTAAAATAATAATTATTTTATATTATATTTAATTTATATTTAAAGAAATGGATAAAAATTATAAGAAAAATTAATATTTTTTATATAGGATCATTTATTTTTTTAAAGTGAAAAGAATTATTTGTAATTTATATAATTAAATTTATATGTTCAATTATATCCTTAAAAATTATATTAATAATTTAATTTTATAAATTTTTAAAAAATAATTTTAACAAATAAATAAATTATTTTATTTTAATTTTTGTATATATCAAATCATATATATATATATATATTATATTACAACATACATAGTTATTATATAACAATTCTGACATAAATGTTTATGTGGACAACCTCTTTTTTTGACACATAAAATAATTCGTATAACTTTTCATTATGATAACACATAAAATATTTATTAATTTTAAATTATTTACAAAAAATATATTTTTAAAAATTATTAAATTATCTAAAATTTTAAATTTTAATCAAAAACAAATTTTAAAGTAATTTATCTTTTTTAGTATTTAAATTTATCACAACTTTACAAAATATTATTAATATCTTTAATTTTTTTTATAAATAATCCTTACATTATCTTCAGTTTTTCAATATATTTCACAGGTGAAAAAAAATATATAAATATCAAAACTATTTCAGAAAAGTTTTTCTTATATATCACTTCATCTCAATTTAAAATCAATTTTAAAATAATTTATCTTTTTCAATTTATCTGTAGTTAACATGAGTATTTAAATTTATCACAACTTTTAAAAATATCAGTTAATATCTTTAATATTTTTTTATAAATAATCATTGTATTATCTTTACCTTTTGAATATATTTCATAAAGGAAATGTGAAAAATATATATATAAATACCAGAACAACTTCAAGAAAATTTTTATGTACATTATCTTATCTCAATTTAAAATTAATTTAAAAGTATTTTTTTTTGAATTTATCTACAGTTAACATAAATATTTAAATTCATCACAATTTTTTAAAAACTTATATAATATTTTTAATATTTTTTATAAATAATCCTTACATTATCTTCAGTTTTTAAATATATTTCACAAAGTAAATATGAAAAAATATATATAAATACCAGAACAACTTTAAAAAAACCCTCATTATTGATAATTCTTAATTATATAGCTTTCCTAAAGTCCTATAGATTTAAACATATTTTTCCCTAGTATTAATTTAATCTCTTTTTTTATTAGTCTATTTTTACTATAGGAACTAATATCTTTTTTTGATAATAGATATTATTTCACTAAACATATTATCCATTCAATCAGGTCAGATTTTTTTTTTCAAATCAACTATAATATTTTTTTAAGAAACTATAAAAACAAAAATTTTTGGTATTTCACTAAATTATTTATAAAAAATTTATTTTAAAAATTATTAAATTATCTAAAATTTTAAAATTTAATCAAAAACAAATTTAAAACTAATTTTAAAGTAATTTATTTTTTTTAATTTATCTGCGATTAACATGAATATTTAAATTTATCACAACTTTTAAAAATATTATTTAATATCTTTAATTTTTTTTATAAATAATTCTTACATTATTTTCAGCTTTTCAATATATTTCACAAAGAAAATGTGAAAAAAAAAATATAAATACCAAAACAACTTCAGAAAAGTTTATCTTGTACATTATTTTATCTTAATTTAAAATCAATTTTAAAGTAATTTATTTTTTTTAATTTATCTGTATTTAATATAAATATTTAAATTTATTACAACTTTTAAAAATATTATTTAATATCTTTAATATTTTTTATAAATAATCTTTGCATTATCTCCAGCTTTTAAATATATATAAATATCATAATAACTTCAAGAAAACCCTCATTATTGGTAGTTTTTAATTATATAACTTTTCAAATATATCACTGAGCTAAATGTATTTTTTTCTACTATTAATTTAATTTCTCTCTTTTATTAGTCTATTTTTGTTATAGGAATTAATATGTTTTTTTAATGATAGGTACTATTTCATTAAATATATTATTCACTCAATTAGAAAATATATATTTTTTCAAATCAGCTATAATATATATTTTTCAAAAACTATAAAAACACATATATTCTTATATTTTTACCAATGTTGTCTACAGACCTTTTATTTTTTTGTAGATTTTTCATTTAACCAAGTAATATATTTTATCTTTTAACTGATTAAATATTCAATATTCTCCATTTGTATAAAATAAAAATGATGCTATTATTAATTGATATAATAGAATTATGTGTCATAAACAAAAATTTATGTGCAAGTTGTAAAACTCACTCACAGGAAGATGGATATGCCAAAGTGAAAAAAATATTGGAAGAGTTGATAGGCCGTTAATATATTTTTGAAGTAAAACTCAATGATTATAACTTTTTTTATGGAAGTTCAAGATTGACTATTACACATGTTCATGAGACATTTTATGTTGAAGAGAGTTGGTATTTACTTAAAAAAATACAAAAAGATAAATAGTTTAATACATTTTATTAAAACTTTTTGTCAATAATTTTTTTAAATAATTGTTTATAATTCAATACTATTACTTACTCAAAATGGTATCGATATCAACCTTAAAACAATTGAAAGGCACAAATATTTGAAAAGCCATATAGATACTAAAGATTATAATATTATTGAAACTTCTACAAAAAAAAAATGTACACATGGGTAAGTTATCATGCATATTATTTAAATATTTAAAATCATTATTTTTTTAAATAAATAAAACTTATATTAAAATTTCATAAATCAAGTATTCCAGAAGGAAGATTGGCTCTGAAAGATTGTCCAAATACCATACCAAATGTGGTGAAATTATTGATGAAAGCTTCAGAAAACTGTACTCAGTTTGCATTGTCAATATTATGGATGCAGGTATGGCCGCAAAACTATTTCTTGTTATACAAAGTGGTTACAATCCTGTTTTAAAGCAACGGTCAGCAGAGTTGTTGACATTATCTAGCCTATATTACACGACCACCATCTTTATCTCCAAGTGCAAGCTTACAAGATTAATTCAACGAAGCTAGATAGCAGTTTGTTGATATACAGGACATTTTCGTTTTTCTTCTTGTCCAATATGACAAATGGGGCAGACGAGCTTCCGGTATTGGAGAACTCAGAAGCGGGGTTTCCGAGGTACCCTTGACTCTTTTGTGCATGCTGAAGAATTTCCATCATATTATTGTTTGACATCAAGTAAGCATCATAATGTGGATTTGAGCTAATTGGAAGCAGTGTTGTTACCAATCCACTGTCTGTAAGCTCAAGCTTCTGCCACTATTTCCCAATAATTCCTAGCAAGGTTATGATTCAAACTGTTTGTGTCACTGGTTTCTTTGTTGTTTCAATCCACTAGAGAGATGCAACTGTAAACTCGTAAAATGAGCTGAGTGGGGGTTGGGAAATGGTGATAGAGGGAAATGATATGTTGAGGGGATTCCTGTTAGCATCTGTGTCACTTGTAACTGTAGTTAGTTTTTGTGAGTAGTCCTGTCTCATTGATCCCTAGATTTCCTTCATCTCTGTAAGGTTTTGTGAAAGCTTACATTTATACCTTGGTTGAACTTGAAAGAGTTCTTTTGAATCTTAAATCTCAACTTTTCAGGGTTTATAAACCTTCTGGGTTGCTATCAGATAAAACATCTACAATCTATTTGAATTGCTCAATTGAATCTACCTGAGTTGAAATATGTTTTTATCTCTACTTTTTGGAAAGAAAATCTGGTGGACTCTTCTCATCATTCAAAATCAAAATGTAGGCTGTAGCTTGAAGGATCTGAAAAGAATTTTCTCTGCAGGTACCAGTGGTAATTGCTGCAAGTCTCCAACATCCACCAGCTGGATCTTCGGCGGAGCAAATGAGTAAGAACAACCTTACCTAGTTTCTTCAATATCAATCAACCTAAACTTGTTAACCATACTATTTGGAAGTATCTTCAACTTCGAGGATTCTTTAAAAATATGGAGTAGGGGATCATGCATGCATAACATTAGAGTGATGAGATCCAAGGTTCCCAAGAGGATGAGGGCCCTGGATTCCACTTTTGTTGTCACCAAATGCGCACTCACACCCCAAGAAACACACTTGTGCGGGGAGATAAAAAGGAGGTAAATCTTTTCTACCCTAAAAAGTAGAGGTAGCGGGGAAGAAGCCATTTGGTGGCATTGGCAATGTTTCTCAACCAACTTGCCAGCCCAAGCCTAGACTAAAAGAATCTGGTCAAATGCATTGTTCCCTGTGAATGGGAACTTCAGACTTGGCACTGGGAGTGTGTAATTATTCACTTTTTATTTTCTTGCCTAAATTTAGTTTTATTCATGGACAATAACTACTTATGAAAACAAATATTTTACTTAATTTTTATATTATAATTCATATCAATTGAATCATTTTATTATAAGAATTTGTTAATTTTATCTAATTGTTATTAGACTACACATTGTTTGGAATGCTTGCATGTGAGGAATTATCATTTATTTAAACATGTAAAAGAGATAATTGCACAGATATTGATCGCATTGAAAATGCTACTATCAAAATTCGATTACATGGTTATTGTTGACTCAATAAATACGGATTTTGTGTAAAGTTTGAAACTTTAATATTGCTATTTCAAGGGCATTGTTTGGTTGTTTTGTATTTTAATTATTGTTCCATAACAGACTTCCGCTATTTGAGATAAATCGATTTATAATAGTCCATGGACTAATTATATAATTTGACCCAAAAAAAAAAAAAAAAAAACTATGAAAAACAGAACAGAATCATCGACAGCAGTGAAAAAGAAAAACAGTAGCAAGCCCTTTTTAACTACGTGGCAATAACCGTTAGGACATAATTCTAAAACACAGACTGTGCTTATAGTGGTCCAAAAACCATATGATCCCCCTCTCTTACAACAAAATCACAAATAAAATAAGCAACCAGCTATCAATCAGTCACTTTCTCACCCCTGAAAAATCCAAAAAGCCCCAAAGGAAAAAAAAAAAAGATGTCATGGTTAGCTCGTTCGCTGGCGAACTCGCTTCGTCTCGATGACAATGAATCAGCTTCTTCTGGGGATGAAGAAAACGACGTCGTAACGAATGAGTCTCGATCATCGCTTCCTCAAAGGCACAAGATTGAAAACGAAGAAACCATGGCGGAACAACAATCATTGTCCCCCGAGCAACTAGCGGAACTCCAATCGCGTGGCGTCAAAGAAGACCTAACCGAACTCAAACAATCCCTAACACGCCAACTGTGGGGAGTCGCTTCCTTCCTCGCTCCGCCACCTCCTCCTCCTCCTCCCCCGCCTCGTTTTTCGACGCAATTCAATCGCCAATCTAATGATCGATCATTCTCTAATTTGAATCAATCTGAGCCGTTGGATCAATCTCTCTCGGGGGACGAAGAGGATCATTCTGATTCAGCGGCGGTTGGGGGGATTAGGGACGATTTCACTGAGATCGGTGGAAGGTTGTCGAAGATGGCATCGGATTATTTTCCGTTTGGATCGGGGGAAAATGAGGAAGAAAACGAGATGGAAAATGAAAATGAGGAGGATCGGGAGTTCAATGCGGTTGGGATAACGGATGAGGTGTTGGCGTTTGCTAGGAACATCGCGCATCACCCAGAAACGTGGCTGGATTTCCCTCTTGATCCCGATGAAGACTTGGCTGGTAATTTTATTTTCTTAATTGATCATGATTAATTTGATCTCATTGCGTAGTAATAGAATTTGGTTTTTTTATTTATATCCTCTGCCATGGAATTCTTGCTATAAAGTTCAGTTGTTTAGAGCTCAACCGATCAAAGTGTTTATTTTGTTTGAATTTCAATTAAACACAGAATAGTTTGAATTCTATACCTTTAAATCTATTTAAAAATGCCAAATGCTACCATTATTTTCCTAGGCCATTATGTAAGTCATTGATTCTGTTGTTGAATGTCTTCAAGAATGTTGGATCATAATTCATAAAATAAAGAAGTTTAAATTATTAAAGTAAATGTGGTTAATACACTACGTACCAGTTCCTGCAGTTACTGCCCTTGACATTGGTTTGAAGTTTTACCATTGTCTAAGTGTATTGTATGCGTCTCTCCTCAAATGATAGGGCTGAAAACTTATTCTTTGTGGAGTTTTGATCAACACCCACCTTCTGTGGTTGAATTTTAGATGCAGATGAATGCTTTATATTATCGTTACTCAATTTAATTTTATGTATTCTTTGCCTGTTTAGCTAGCTAGTTTTGATTTACAAACTTCAATTTTGGTTGTGATTCCTGTGATTTATTATGTACAGATTTACAAAATGACAATCAGAGTTTGTGCATTTCTGAATTTTCTTTTTCCCCCTTTTGTTGCCTTGTTTTAGATTTTGACATGTCAATTGCCCAACGAGACCATGCTATGGTTGTTGAATATCTTGCTCCAAGACTGGCAGCTCTGAGAATTGAACTTTGTCCTTGCCATATGAGTGACAGTTACTTTTGGAAAGTTTATTTTGTTCTTCTGCATTCAAGACTTAACAAGAATGATGCAGAGACTCTGTCTACACCTCAGGTTAGTTACTTCTCATAGAAACAAGATCATCGAGGGCCCAAGTATCTTATTACTTTCTGAAGCTTCTTACACTTCTTCTTTCAGAGGAAAGTATTATATTGAGTCCTTATTGAGCGTTCAGTTTAATATCTGTTTCTTTTTTCTTCTTGTATTTTTCCTGTCTCAGATTACAATTTTACATTTTAAAATTTAGACTTTAATCTCAAGTTTTTATACTTCAATCTATATGGGAATGGGAAATTTAAAATTTAATCTTTGAGTTGTAAGGTTTTACTTACAAATCCATCTATGAAACTGGTTTACAATATCATTTCATATAATTTCATGGAATTGATGTTATGTTTTATTAGAATTGTGATCAGGATTTGTTTGCCATAAGTGCAATTTCTATGAGATACTTTATGTCCTTGTTTTTTCACCCTTCATGTTCGGTAGCCGGTAGGTATCAAGCTTATGTGCAGAACAATTTGTTGATTAATTCTCTTGGTATTTAATCTATTGCTGACAGGTAATGGAAACCAGAGCATTGTGGATGAAGGAGCTGCAAAAGCAAATGAAGCCAGAAACTGATTCGTATGGAAGAAGCACTTCCCGCTTAGGAGATAACTCTGGTATTATGCATGAAGATTTTATTCCTTCATCATCCAGTTATTTTACCATTGAGACCATGTCACCTAGGACATATACTTCTGAACCTGCATCTAGCATCACAACAGATTATGAGACTGAGAAGCATCCAGTTGAAAGTACTGAGATGCCATTTGTAGACAAGTCTGTTATTGAGGAAAAACTGGTGTCTAACACTGAGGATAAGCATCATCTGGTTGGTCCATCCTCAAAAATATTGATTCCAACTTTTGAAGATGAAGAGATTGATTGGCCAGAAGTTGATGATTGTGAATTTGGTGGTTACAGTGGGGCTGCAATTTGTGTGGAGAACGAAGAAGATATTTCTTTTAGTGATCTTGAGGACGTCGATGATAGTAGTACCCCCACAATATCTAAGATAGTTACAAAATGATTTGAAAGCTCTGTGATTGGATTCAGCTTGGCGTAAGCTCTGCTCGTTGGATCAAAGATGGAATCAAAAGGTCATTTAATTTGATGTAAAACCTGGGATTACGGACACCAACAGTATCATGGATGCAGAGGCAACGATTGGAGGTGCTGAAGGTGTCTCGGGAGCGTGTTTGTAAATGGTGAGTGATCAATCAAATGTTAAAAATTGCATATGTACAAGGAGTTTTGAGTTGAAATGAGAATAGAAGCTTTGACAACAGCTTTGTCTCAATTTTCTAAAACATTTGTACAGAAAATCTGTTAGTTAAAAATTCCTTCTTAGAACTTGAGGTTCACCCTCAGATACAGAGGGTATTTTTTAAAATTCTTTCTGCTAAGTTTATGTAATAAGATGAGCTCATGATTCACGACATTTGATTCTCACATTTTCTACTGTATATTACATGAATTATATATGTAATTAGATCGGTGGAAGGATCATGAGCTTTTTATTCAATTCCGAGATCAGAATTATTGGTTCTTGAAATCTGGTTTCCTTTTCTTTTCACATGATTATAAAATCAATTAACCAATGTGCTTAAGAAAAGCTCAATATTTATAAAAAAAAAAAAAACAAAATATGAAAAGCTCAAGTTGATTAATTATTTTCGTGATCCTTTATCTACTAATTGAATCAAACGCAAAAAAAGAATTGTTTAAAGAACAAATTGTAAAAGATCAATTATCCAAATACCTTCAATCAATTCTGATGGTATGTAACATATTTCAAAATTTTCTCTCTAATATTATATAAGTAGCCAAATCCCTGTTTCATTAAAAAAAAATCTCAATTTAGCAGACTAAATCATTCACAAAGATTATAGAGATTTATCTAAGATTTTTTTGTCAGAAACAATTTATTGAAATAAGAAAAACTTAAAATTTAATTAAAAATTAAAATTTTTACTTAATTTGTATAATCACTTTTAAAAATAACATTTAATAAATATAAAATTTAAATTCCATCGCTTTGTATTCTCATCTCTTTCCATTTGAAAGCTTCTTTGTACTTATTTCCTTATCAGACCAATTATTAAAATTAATAACAGAGAAAAAAAAAAAAAACCAAGTTGTTAGTTGCTACGGTTGGTAAACGCAATGCTGATGCAGCGTCATTTTGTATAAAGAAAGCAAGACCACCGGCTTCTTCGAAAAATCAAGCCAGAGAAACTGGACCTGAAACAACTGGGAAAAACGTAATCGCCCTGTGTTTTAGTCATTTTGGATCTTCTCTACTCCTTTCTTCCTTTCTCTCTTCCCTCTGAAACCAGGTTCGTTTTCTCACCATCCTCCTGCAAATGCAATTTCTCCATAAAAAAGAAAAAAGGAAAAAGAAAAAGAATACCTCCCCCAATTCAACATCAAACTAAAAAAACACTGTTTTATTCACATAACTAACCTCTTTATCTACCCCTTTCTTTGTATCTGCTCTTAAATTCTCTTACCCAAACTATAAATTTCAGGGGTTAATAGCTTCTTTTTTTAGTATTTGAAAACCCCTGGGGTTCTAATTCGTGTAGCTCTTGGGTTTTGTTTTTGGTCAATGGATGTGCAACTGTTGAACAATGCGTTGACTTTTTCACGTAGGAAGAAAAAATGGCTTATTTTGTTAGCTGTATGTGGAGTTTCTGGTTATGGGGTTTACAAGGTGTATAATTTACCCTCTGTGGTGAAGAAAAGGAAGAGGTTTTTGAAGCTCTTTGGAGCCCTGATTTCGTTGGCTGAATTGGTCTCGGATTCGGCTGAGACGATTGATGTTGTATCCAAGGACTTGAGGGAGTTTTTACAATCTGATTCTGATCAAATTCCTAGCAGTTTGAAGCAAATTTCAAAGATTGTGAGCTCAGAGGATTTTTCCCAATGTTTAATTAGGGCTACTGAGTCTTTAACAGTTGGGGTTTTAAGAGGGTATAAGTTGGATTCAGGGGATGTGGGTGAATTGGCAACGGGTCCGGGGAATTCTAGCTTTATTGATAGGGTATTGGATAGGGTTTTTTCTAGTGATGGGACTGGTTTTGTATCTGTTGTGGTTGGTAGCTTTGCTAGGAATCTGGTGCTGGGGTTTTACTCAAATGGTGGAGAAATTGATGGGTTGATTGGGAATGGCGGGTCATCTGATATCCCCAAATGGGTTAATGTACTTTACGATGACAAGTCTAAAGAACTAATGGCTGATTGCATACAAAGATTTGTAAGCACAGCCGTTGCAGTTTATCTTGACAAGACTTTGGACGTTAATACTTATGATGACATGTTTGCTGGAATGACCAATCCAAAGCATCAAAACAATGTGAGAGACATTTTGGTTTCTGTTTGTAATGGTGCTGTGGCAACTCTAGTGAGAACATCACATCAAGTGTTGACAAGTTCAAACTCGAATTCTAAGTTGAGTTCGGGTTGTTCAATTGTTAATCAGAATGAGGATGCTGGTGGAATGAGAGATGGTTTTGATAAGGAAGTATCTTTAAAAGGAGTGAAAGAGGGGAGCTTATGTGATGGGATTCATAATAATGGTTGGGTTGATAAGGTCTCATCCACATGGGCAGTTCCTGGCAATAGGAAGTTTGTGCTTGATGTGACTGGGAGGGTGACCTTCGAAACAATAAGGTTTATTGTGGAGTTTCTGTTGTGGAAGATTTCAGAGGGTTTGAAAAGAATCATTCTTGTTGTACATGAGGAGGTTATGGAAAGGGGACTGGATGTTATCAGATTTGTTGGTGCGAAATCTTCCGTTATTGTCACCATTTGTCTTGCTCTGTATTTATATATCCTGGGTGGTAGTAGGGTTCTCTTACCTGCTTGAACAGGTTTGTTCTGTCCTTTAATGGAAATACAATGAAATCTTATAGAATTGATTATACCAGACGGCCTTGTATGTATATTTCTCTCCTGCAATTAAAATGTATAACTATGCTCGTGTTGTTCATATTTATTATTGGTCTTAGCTTTAGGAATACTTAGCTTCCTCCAAATTTATTAGCATTATTATTCAAATGTATACCCTGCTCCTGCTGTATACCACAATTAGTGGTATAAATCCCTCTAAGAGATGGATTGTCTTAGTGATTTAGAAACCAAAGAACATAAAATATTCATTAATGTGCTTTGGGATTAACAATTCCAATATTTCTATCAATTTTTTGGCCATTGTTAATACACTTGTATCATTCAGCATCACATCACACCTTTCGAACTGTGATTTTTCTGAGTTGGAGGGGATTGCTATCCTGATTTAGGTCAGTTCCAGTCATTGCCCCATAGGAGCATCACGTTTTGTTTAGGGAAAGTTTTGCTGATGCCGCAATATGATTCTACAAAATGAGCGGACTATGATAAAGATAATAATCCTAGAAGAGATGTCTCTGGCTTTGTAGGATCTAGTAGTAATATTACTAGTATTATCATTTTTCTCAAGTTGATAGGGATGAACCTGGAAATTGTGTGATTGAGACAATCATCCATACTTCCGATTCTGAGAAGAATGATCGATGATTCTGTGCCATTCAAATTTCAGATGCTGAAACTTTTTGAATGAAAGTGCGGATGGACTATGCAGCCTGGATAGAGGGCTCCTAGTAGGAAATTTACCTGTCGCAACACTGCCTGCCTGCCATTACCTGAGTGAGTTGACTGTGGAGGTCAACCAACGCCATGATCTTTGTTTTGAAACTTTTGTTTCATGGCCGAACCTCTACTTTCATCTTTAGTCTCCCCTTCATGGTCAATAAAATGTAAAGCAAATTCTTCCACAACTGATCTTAGTATAAATTATGATCCTTGATTATAATAAGACTTAGATTTTATTAAAATAAAAATTGGACCTGTTATTATTTTTATCTACAGGAAGTCGAAGAAAAAGTTCTGAAAACCCAATAGAGGCAGTATCTTTGCCATCTAAGGTTGCAAGAAGCCGGTATTTTGATCTCACTAATGGTTGTTAAACATGCATTTACGACATTATCTCAATGTATATCTATCAGATTCAATTCGCTCAGGAAAATGACTTTTTTAACAAAAGCATACTCTTCAATTAACACCCGTAAAGGGTGTCAAATTGTCATAGCCGTGTTTGACCCTCAGCCTTGCCTGTTTCCATATATCTGGTTTGTTGGAAATTGACTGGAAAATTCGTACGTTACATGTGTGAATTGTGCCGCAAAAAGTCCTAGTATTTTAAAGAAGCTCCATTGTTTTCAGTGACTGTTTGTGACTATAGTAATTTAACAAATTTTCCTTGTCTCAATTTCCCTTTGGCTTATGTGTATTCTTTTCATTTGGAAGATTTTTCAAACTTGTTCAAACTTTTTCTTGGAAAGTATGCATCTGCAAAGAAGTGGATAAACTGGGGCTCACCAATGCAGGTTAAAGCAACTATAAATGCGAACAAGACGATAAGCCAAAAAAAAAGAAGCAATTGAATAATTTCTTTTGTAATTATCAATTAAAACTCTCGATCACTGCAGAAACATCCTGACTGTGAAACTGAACCGGCTAAGCCATCTAGACAGTCATGTCAACTTGGCCAGAAAACATAATTTATTTATGGTCTGATGGTTCAATTTGAACTATTGTTTATTTTCTCCTACAACAATTCAACTTCATGGCTTGTGATTCTGAGTATAAATATAATCCACATGAGCAGCAAGGGTTCTTCTCATCAAGCAATCCTCTTCGCCAACTCCATCACAGTTCTCATCAATGTCAACTTTCTCTGCCTCAACTTCCTGCATCAACAAAAACCATTACCCTTATTAATAATTATCAATATATATATAAACCTTGTAAAGGAAATCTTCATTTAGCAACACAAAGAAAACCAAGGATTGGGTTTGGTTAGAAGCGTGGAAAGAAGAAAGGAAATGATACATACCTCGTGTTGAGTTAAGGGTAAAGCAGGCCCGGGTTGAGCAGCATAACTTAGCAGAAAATTGAGGAGAAGGGCAGCAATGAAAAGGGTGCAGAGCTTAGACATTTTCTTTTAAGATTCAGGAAAGAATTTTCAGAGATGCTGGTTAAAGGTTCAAAAAGGATCAATTTATAGAGGAAACAGAAGAGAGAAAGATACTATCTGGTTAGGTGGGGTGGAATTTGGGTGGACTTTAGGCAATTAAATGTGAATCCAAATATGCTTAATTACCTGTATACTTGACTTCAGCAAATCGATTTGCCATCTAAGACTCAATCAGCCATACAAAAAAAGGCAATGGCACAGTCACTGCTCTTCTTCATCTTAATGGATGGGGATATCTTGTAATCCAGGCGTGACTGCCTAAGATCTAATATGTCTTGAATGATTATGACAAAAGCCGGCTACCGTCCTTTGACTGTTCTAAATTTGTCTCATTTAGGGGTATTGGTATCACATCACCAAGGACAAGGCCGGTTCCTTTTGCCGAGGCTCATCCATTTGTAAATCAAAACCGGCGAAGGAAGAGGTAACGGACCAGATACTTCGACAGATGGTTGGCTGCTCCATTGCAGATTGGGATCCAGACCCGGTATCAAGGTGGATGAAGGCTACCCCATCCGCACAAACGGGCTATGCCTTCGGCCATAACCCAATTGTTGTGCTTAGCAGTTAGCATGTAGCATATCATTATGCAGCCGCTATTATGTTTTTGTCACTGGTTTTGGGATTTTGAATTATGTGCCAAAATCTTGTTTATATGACAATTTAATGCAAATAGATTCAAAGGTTTTGCCCAAAATTATAGACTTTGACTGAAAATCGATGAATTTTTTTGCATTATGTTTCAAATTAAATCTTTACACAAAGCCAAGGTTGCAATTTAGAATATGAAGCCCCAATGCCCCATATATAATATAGGTAGGCAGAAATTTGTTTTTGTTTTTGTTTGTTTTTTTTTTTTTTTCTTGCCAAACGCAGGAAAAAGGTTAAGTCTAGCACGAATTAATGCTGCTTTCCCAACTCCATCTCACTTCTCTATAACACTTAATAACATTTTTTAGCTGGAGTTTATGAAATTTTTTTATTAAAAATGATCACATAAAAAATTATTTTAAAAATTAAAACTTATAAAATAATAAATTTTAATATGAAAAAATAAATAATATGTAAAAATTATTATTTATAATCAAAATTTAATTATTACTTATTCAATAATGAAAATTTTTGTTAAGTTTTTTAGTAAAATATCCATTTAAAATATATCAATTTATTCAAATTGATAAATTCATGAGTCTATAGTAAGTCATTTTAGTTATTGGTGATTTTTTTGTTGACCTTAATATTCATATACATAACTTTATAAAAAATGATACATTTTACACATACTTAAAAAAGCTATATTTTTTAGATTTCAACTTTCAGCTTCAACCACACAATTAATCTCTCTCTCTCTCTTTGCAAACCTAAAGTTAGGTTAATTTGTTAATTGTAGATAGGGTTTAATAAAGATGTTGTCAGTCAAAATGGGTAACCTGTGATTAGACTCGTGACTTTCACCTTTGGGTCTCATCAGTATCTTCATTTCATCTTTACTTATATTCACAGTCTCTATTCTATACTTGCATTGGTAGATCATATTACACGTATTAATCAACAAACAACCGTGTATGCAGGGCAGGGGCATTCATTAGGACATTGTAATTCCACAAAGGATTAAGGGCATATGTAGAAATTAATACTTATTATTATAGTAAAAATTAAACAACCATAATTCTAGTCTCTTGATAACTTAAGTGACGCCCTGGACTTTAGCCAAACCTCTTTCTCTCTTTCTGTGGCTATTTCAAGGCTTTCATAATACCAAATTCATGGCGTACGCTACCTCAAGTACTAGTAGCTTCTCTGGTGTCTTCAATCTTCGATCAAATAACGTTGAGCCTAGGGTGGTGCGGCCCTCATCATCCAGCCATGGCTCAGCAGCTTCTGTGTGTGGAAAGTTTGATGGTGTTGCTATGTGGTTCATCAATGGTGTAGCAACTGCATTCTTTGCATCACTAGAACGATGTTCTTGCATCCATATAGCCACGAAGGACGACGGCGAGGAAGCAAACGACGTGCCATTGATTCTTAGTGATGGGAACGTGAGGCATGAAGCTGGAACTACAAGCAGGAGGAGGAAGGGGAAAGGAAAGAAAGGAGAAGGAGCATTTCTTGAAGACTAAAGTGTTGGAATTGTCTTTGTTTATTACTCAATTGGGTAAGTTAAAGGGTTTCTTGGATCTGTGAAAGTTTCAATGGGTTTGGCAACGCTAAAACTGCAAAGGAGGTCAAATATTTTTAGTTTTACTTTTGTTTGAATCAGTGATATGAGTATGAAATGGAAAATAAGAAAATATTTATATGATGTGAAATTTCCAATCTTGCAGTTTTCCCCAAGAAGCTTTCATGCCAATTGTTCAGAATCAGATTTTTTTATAACTACATAAATAATTTTCAAGTGGTTAATTAGAAAGTTTTGCTAGAAACTGACAATATTTTATCAGTTATTCATTGAAGAAAATAATGGGAGTTTCTTTCTTCTTTTTTTTTCCTTTCATTAATTCAAAAGGAATTGGATCCTCCCTAAGCTCATGCTGCCAAATCATGGCATGAAAGTGTTCTGATTCTTCTAAATAATTCCACTTCCTCACTTAAACTCAATACAAACAGCCTGGGCATTTTTTCCCCAAATATTGTATATTATTACATAATTTTATAGGAGTTTCATTGCAGCAGTAAATCCCATGATTAATAAAGAATTAAATAGTAAAGATTCAAGGCCAAAATTTGGCTCTGGCTGTATATTATCAATGTTTAACTTTAAAGAACATTTTCTATCTTTAGCTTTTTTCCCTTTCATGTATATAAAATTTTTTGGCATTCGAAATTATTAAGACTTGATCATTGGTTATTGAAATTAAAATTTGAGTACTTCAATGATAAATCACACGATTGTTGATCATGTATATGAAATTTGGTAGTGCTTAATAATGGAATTATGTACTTTGGTCAGCTTAATCTGCAACGTCAGTACTTCTCATTATTCAACCCTATCTAGCTTTATTGAACACATAGCTATAACACTCGTTTACAAAAGCATGCTCCGCTCATAGTTAATTTTGTAGAAAAATCCAAAGAGTAAAACAGGAACAAAAGGTATTGCTTTAAATATTCAAAAACGACTTGGGTCCATGATTTTGAATGATGTTGACATTTTTGGGGTATATATGTATCATGATGCTTGTTGGACTTGCTTTTGTTTTATCTTTTATCCTAACTCTAGCTCGGAATCCAAAGATTGAATTTTTTTTTTAACATAAAAATTCACATTTTCCCATTCCCTTTCACCTATATTTCGTTGATCAAAAATATAATTTTCAAATAAAAAATTAATCCAATTAATTATATAATCATATTTACATAATAATATTTCACATATTTTGAATTTAAATTTTAACATTTATATATAATCTTTTCTTATTTTCACAGCACAATTTTTTTTATAAAAAAAATTAGTACAATTTTCTAAAAAAAAGAGAAGCTAATAAATTATAGAGGGTAACGGGTCGGGTTAGGGTAGATTTTTGCTCGTCTTGAATTTAATCCGATTTTATAATTATAAAATTCGTATTCGTATCCAATCCAAAATTCTTTTAATTTTTTTTTATCTGAACCCAACTCAAATCTAACATTATATAAATCGTACTTGATCTGATTCGACTCGAAATTAATAAAATATTTTTTAAAAAATATAAAATATTATTTTTAAAATATAAATATATATATAAATTAAAAAATTAAAAAATAATTTTTTATATAATATCAGATCGAATCAGATCAAATTTACCTAAAATTCGAATCTGATTTTCACTTATTAATATTTGATCTGATCTGAAATTTGATTTAAAAAAAAAATTAATTTTATAAAATCGAATTAAATCGAAACATGTAAATTTTAGGTTGGACTGTCAATCTTACTAATAACGCAAAACCTAAGAGAAAAAAACAAGAATCAAAGTTGCGTGATTAAAAAGATACAGTAATAATTTAAAATTTTCATGGTGATGGGTTAAATCAATCCCCACCGAATATTGTTCCCTAGTCGTTTTTAACCTTTAATTTAGCTTTAACTTGATTATCCACCATTTTGGTTATGCGTGCTATTGTTCAGTCTCCAATCCAAACGCATGATTGAGAATCATTCTAGTTCTAGATTAGATATTTTGTTCCCCCGAATTAGGGTTGGCAGCGCAACCTAAAATTGACAGATTTCGGTCTAATTCAATTTTATAAGAACAATTTTTATTTTAATCGAATTTTAGATCGGATCAAATATTAATAAGTGAAAATCAAGTTCAGATTTTAGGTAGATTCAATATGATATTATATAAAATATTATTTTTTAATTTTATATATTTATATTTAAAAAATAATATTTTATTAATTTCGAGTCGAATCGAATTAAGTATGATTTATACAATATAAGATTCAGATAAAAAAATTAAAAAAAATTTCGGATTGAATATGAATTTTATGATTATAAAATCAGATCGAATTTAAAATGAACAAAAACTTATTTTGATCCGATCCGTTACCATCCCTACCCCATATGTTGTGCTGAGAAAATGTACTCTTTATTTATTCTTTTTGAATTGTGTAGCTTTTAAAGTACTTTGCAAAATTTCAATTCAAGAAAAAATGGTAATATTCTTTTATGAAATTAAAGTATAAAAAAAATTATTGAATTAAATTACACATAAATTAACTAATAAATCAACAGATAATTGAATAAATTAAACATAAAATTAAATTAAAATCACGTATCATATGTTTTGAATTTAAGACTTTAAAATTTTGAATTCTTCTTATTATCAATAAACCAAAGTCTCGTCTGCAAGAAAATTTGATATTTAAAACTTCACGCCCATACTAAGCACAACCCATTTCATCAACACTTCCACTGTTAATTATGCATTGTCATAATACAAAAGAAGATATTTCACAATCTTTAAATTTCATGTTTAATTCATAAAAAATGATATTAAAAATTAATTATTATAGTTATAATTTTTAATTATTTACGAAGTTTTACAAAATTTTTTATTATGTAAAAATTTATTTAGTAATAAATATTAAATAATTCAATTTGGAATTAAATCATAAGCAAATTTCGTTTCTTTATTGTGGGCTATTTGAGTTATTTACGGACTGAAGTCCAATTATCGGTTTAGGCCCAAAATCTGCTACAAAAGAATTCAATATTGGGTTTAAGGGCTCAGGAAAGATCCATTATGCATTAAACGACACCGTCTGATTCCTCCAAGCTGGCACCCAGATTTTACCTTATTTTCAATTTTCTTTTGCGTTTAAACCCAATTTTTTTTTTTTTTGATCAATTCCTCCGTTCAAGGAGCATTTGAGGGGTTTCGGACTGAGCTCAGTTGTTCCTAAAGCAGCTGCTGTTGCGTCTGTGGCAGCAACTGTAAATGCTAATCTGTTCTTTATGTTACTTCATTGGATCAGATTCTTTTTACATTAATTCCTAATATAAATGAACGCAAAGGTTAGGAAGGCCTTTGAAAATAAGCAAAGGGCATTGGGATTTGAAGATTCAGCTTTTCGGTACACTGTCTTAGCTCCCCTCATTGCCTTTAGTGTGCACATGGGAAAGAGAGGCTCCACTGGGTTTGCCTGCGCCTGAAGTAATACTGAAAGATGGCAAAAGGGCTTCTGGTGTTTGGACGCATGGCCATAGGATAGGCTATTGGCAAACGAAGGGTTAATTTTTGCATTTGAGGGAAATGTTGACAATTCAAGTGTGGCAAAGAAATCTGTACTACTTTGGGACTTCACTAGCCATAGCCTATTTGAAAGTTGAAGCCATGATATCCTACCAAAATCCTGGTCGGGCCCTTCAAGAATAAAACGCTTGAATTTGAGGTATTAATCGTTAAGTTTTACTGCTAAAGCTGATGATCATTAAAGCGCCATTGCTGCTATTGGGACTAAGCTGACAAATTGAGGCAGTCGTTTAGTGCAACAAAAGGTAAAATGAGTTGCGGCAGCACATGAACCCAACTTTTCTCTAAATGTTGGTTAAATTATATATAAAGGGATGGCTAATGCCTAATGGTTGAGCAAACTTTCATGAAATAATAGCAGACTGATCGTTTGCATGTTAGCCTCCACCATAGTGTAGTTGGCCTAGCCTTTTGGGAATTAAAATCATGCTGAATTGAGAACTAACTGCCAAACAAAGGAAATTTTCCAAGATCCCTATGAAAAACGTAACAAGAAAAAGTATGTTCCAACTTCCTAGAACACCAACTAAGAAAACTACCCCGGAATCAACAGTACTTTAGAAACAACTTAAAATCGATAAACATTAATGTATAAAAGAAAACCAAATCACTCTGATTTTACATTTTTTTTTCTTCCTTGCTTTTGTAGAAGAGTAAAAAGTACCTTAAAAATGTTAGATTCTTAGTATAAGAACCATATAGATTTATGTTTCTTCTTTTCTCATATGATGTTTTTTTGTTGGTTTCTCATGGAAAATTGTTACAAAAATCCGTTGTAATATTTATTTTCCAAAGTGAATAAGTTTTTCAAATATTTTATAACTTGCTAATACATAATTAGTTTAATTATAAAAAAAATTTTCTTAGATTGAAGTTTCCAAAATCAATATAAATGGATAGTAAGAATTGGAGATGGATGCCTCCTATACTTTTCCCATAAATAAAATATAACAAAGAATTTAACCAAAAAAAAAAAATGAATATGTAATGCATGTTTGTAATTGTCTTTTCCACCACGTGCAATGCCCACCCATAATCATTGTAATAACTAAGAAACTAAACTACAAACTTCTCGTCTTTCTATTGTCTTTAAATCGACATTTGCTTATGAAACATACTTGACAGTTGAGATCACCTATATCTCCCATTACGTTGGTTTCATGTTACCAACCACACGCCGACAAAATCCACGTAACCCCTACTTACCCTGGCAAACAACTTTAATACTTCTCCTTTAATTTTCTCTTTTAAAATATCACCTTTCTTCCCTGCGTATCCCACATGACTTCTCTTCTTTGTCTATCTAATAAACATAATTTTTCAAGCATTTTTTTATAAAATTTATATTTGATAGATTATTAGTATAAAATATAAACTCTTTTTTATATATTTTTGTTTGATTCTTCGTGATTAAGGGAAGCCTAATCTTCTACATGACCCACCAATTCTCTCTCAACTATGAAAAAAAAAACGACCCCTAAATTCTATAGTCTTTAACATTGCTTTGAAATGCCAACTTTTTTTCCTTTTGATTTTGGAAAAGTACCCTCCTTCCAAAATCTTTTGTTTACGAGGACCCCATATATTCCTTTCTTCCCTCCTTAAATACCCTTCCCCTCCTCTTCTATCCTTCCCTTTTCCCCTCTTCTCTACCTTCCTAGTATCAATTTAAAATCTGGGGTTTTTTTTTCTCTTTTCATTTCTAGGTTTACTTTGAAACTTTTTTTTGGTGTTTGGTTTGGTTTAATTAACTCGATGGCCTTAGCTGAAGAAGCGGTTCAAGTCCAATTAGTGGCTCATCATGAAACCGTTTTTACATCCGAAGAACTTGAAGAGTTATTAGCTTTCCTTGAATCTGACGAACCGATTAGTCCAAACTCTGGTTCAGAAGGCTCAAATCGGGCGGTATATTCAAAGGACGAAAGGAAGCAAAGACGCATGATATCAAACAGGGAGTCAGCCAGGCGTTCTCGTTGGCGAAGAAAGAGGCACTTGGAGAACCTCACCAAGGAAGTGAACAGGTTGAACATAGAGAACCAGCAGCTTAAGAACCGGCTAAGTTTAGTTGTTAATCAGCATCACGTTGCATGGCGAGAAAATGAACAGTTAAGATCCGAATCCAAAGCTCTTTGGACCAAACTCTTGGATCTATACTGGACTTTAGCCTTCATGCAATCACAATAGCCTACATTTTTTTTTTTTTTGGTTTTTGGGTTAATTGAGATGGAACTCGAAGCCTCTAAGTTCTGAAGCAACTCCAGTACCAATAGCGTACGTTTTATTAAGCTTAAATAATTAACTAAATCATCGTCATCCCAACAAGCTCTAATTAAATGAAACTCTCGAACTTGGAAGAGCAAAAGAAAGGATTAATTAGGGCTTAATTTCTCTATTTTCTACATAATATTAGGCAACTTTGGTCAGCAAAAGATGGTGGCTTTTAATAAACCCTATGTTTGTTATGTTGTAAGAAGATTTTAAGTCCTGCTTTTTTGGTCTTTTTGTGAGGAATTTTCTTTCTTGCCATAGCTGCTTCTACTGCACGTGTCTTGCTGGTTAGGTAGATTAGCTGGCTAGGCGGAAGAGTAAATGGTTCTTGTATATAATTCATGGGTGTATGTATGTTAGTGAATGCAATGATGCTTTTTACTCGTCTTTTATGAAGAATTACTGTTAATTTTGGATGGGATTCATGAATAAAATGTTGACAAGTTTTGACAATATTACACTTCTCCCTTTGCAAACAAAAAGTGCAACGTCAAAAAATTGAAACGCACTCTTATAATTAGTACAGTTATGATATTAATTGTTAGAATAAATTCAAGCCAAACAAAATATAATTAAATGAGCAAATCAATCACATAAGAAATGTGATTTAGCCTAACTAATTTAGGTTCACGGATGAGAAAAAAAATTCAATAATTATAAAAAATTACAAACATATAAATCATATAAATCAACTCTCATAATTAATAACCATAAACCTTCTTATTCTCCTCTAATCCTATGTAATATTTTCAACTCAAATAAACACATATCTATATGTACCTCACTCACCATATCTATGTGAATAATCTCATTCTCTTTTAGTTCACTCAAATATACACACCCAAAAAAAATATCTCAATCTGATCTAGCCCTATAAAGTGTCTACCTAATAAAACTCATAGCTCTCTTATATTTTTTTTCTCATATCTAATCCTATACAGACTTCACCTATTTATAAGCATATACACTTGCCTATTAAGAATTTTTTTCCTTTTAGAATTTTTCTTATACAAATTTTTTTGTCCATTAAGTAATATCTTACCAATTTCAAGCAAATCTTTTATAGAATTTGAGTCACTATTCTTAACAATCTTTATCTTGATTCAAATTTCATTAAATCATCATTTTTTATGCTAGACTTGCTTAGCTCCACTTATAATGAAAGTTTATCAATCATCTTCTCTTGTTTGTTTTCAAATATCATGCAAATCGACCTTCAAAATACGAAATTGATCTCTTCCATTGAATCAAGCTCCTCTAGATTTGTCTATTCCCATGTCTCAAACCTGACTTTGACACTACCTGTCAAGATCACAACAACTCTTATACCAATTTTTAAGCTAAAAAACTTTCAATTAATTAAACATCTAAGCTAGCAAAAACATAATTAAATGATAAAATCAACTACAAAAAAATAATAATTTAACATAGTTTAACCCAACTAACTTATATTCACGGATAAAAAAAAATTTATTAATTATAGAAAATTACAAACATACAAATTATATCAATAAACAGTCATAATTAATACTCATAAACTCTTTCATTCTTTTCTAGTCTCATAGAGTATTCTCAACCTAAATAAATATACACACATATGTATCTCATGCACCAAACCTATGTAAACGATGTTATTCTTCTCTAGTCCACTCAAGTATACACATCCATAAAAACTATCTCAATTTCGTCTAGTCCTTTGCTAAAAAGTATTTACCCAATAAAAGCTTACAACTCTCTTGTATCTATTACCTGATTTTATAAAGATTCTACTTATTTATAGATATATTAACTTACCTATTAAGAATATTTTTTCTTTTAAAATTTTTCTTCTATAAGTTTTCTTATCATTCAAGTAAAAATTTGTATGTGTGGTTTGATTTAATTTTTCGTGGTTTAGGCCTTTAGGATATAGTTTCATGGTCTAAAGTTGATTATAAGCTTAGGATATTTGGATATAATTATATATTCTAACCTGATCAAATCGGTCAGGCCTAAGTTTTAGAACCAAAGTTCGAAACAAACTTGATATTTCTTTCAACTTTTTTTGAATACTATACGTGTCTTCAAATTTAAATGAATAATCTAAACTTTGAACAAATTTAAATATAAATCATCACTCATTTCCAAAACAAAAAATGTGCTACATAAGGGTGAAAAAAAAAGTATAATTATATAATTCTCATTGTCCTTTACAATCCAAATTTGATGAGATTCTCACAAATATATATTGGTTGTCTCATCGAAATATGATTGCTATCTCGAATATTCCAGTTCTTAAATATTTAAACTCATCAAAGTTTATAGCTTAATTTATAACCCACCCAGAAAAAAAAATGAAAAATAAAGAAAACTTTAGACAAGTCCACAACCATCAAAATTTCGAACTTTAGACTAACCTACCCAATGCATGCAACCATGAAAGTCAAAAAAGCAAAGAACCCCCGCCCCCCTCAGTCTTCTTTTTTTTCTTTTGTTTTTTATTATTTCCCCTTTTGTTAATGTGAGATTTTGTATGGATCATGATGTAAAGACTAAACCTTCATTAAACAATTGATGAATAACAAATGTGCACTTGCTTTTTTGCTTGAAAAAAAATTGATTAATGTGAGTAAAATACAACATGCAAGGTATACCACGTAAATTATTAGTTTTATTTATTAGAATAATTATTTAAATTAAATTTAAAGTGCACGAAATTGTTTTAGTCCTCTGCATTTCCAAGCAGATGGGGCTTCTTTTATCCAGGTGCAGAGAATGGATTTGGATAATATGGATTTGTAGTCCCATCAAATCAACAAAAAAAGTTAATTATAAAACACAAAAGACAAAGAGATATATACTTTAGAATCCGACCACCAAAATAAAGAATGAAAAAAAAAAAAAAAAAGAACTAATTGCCAGTCTTCTTTTGCCATGAGTTGAGTCATTCATAAAATTGGTTTAAATGTTGCCAAATGCTCGGTTCCTGTCTTTCAGCTTACTTTTGTTCATTATCATCACCTAAAGTTTTTTGAAAAAAAAAAAATAAGGTTAACTCTCTCTTGTCGCTTTCTTAATTTGCAAGTTCTCAAAAGCCATAGCTAAAAAAAAAAAAAAGGGCAGAATTGAAGGGTAAACAATATTAAGAGTCTTAACAAAGTTAAGAAAACAAACGTCTGATCCATCTTTTTTGACCGAGCAACGTAATTCGTTCATGTACAAAGAATGTGATTAATTAATATATAAAATTATAATAAAATAAAATAAAATAATATTATAAATAAAATTAAATTAAATAATATCATTATATTTTATATTTAATATATACAAATAATAGAATAAAATAATTTATTTATTAATTAAACTTTTTTAAATTTTTATATAATTTAAATTATTAATATAATTTTTAAAAATATATTAAAACATGTAAATTCATCTATATGAATTAAAAATAATACTTTTCATTTAGAAAATTTAAATCACCATATATCAAAAGAATGATTACTTTCATTGTAATCCTATTATTATTTTTAAATATAATCTAAATATAATATATAATATTAATATTTTATTTTATTTATTATCTTTATGTACCATGTATGACCTAATAAGATAATATATACAAGACCAAATTACATGAATTTGGCATTAACGACAATATCTGATATCACCATACTTTCACTGATCTATAAATACTACTTTTTTTTTCTATTGGTGAAAAATGTTTGGCTTGTCCAACTCATCTTTCACAAATTAAAGATTCATTTCATATTGTGATGAAAAAATTCTCATTATTTCACAAGATACAATAAATTTCATCACATTACTAAAAGAACCATAAATAAGATATCTTTACAACCAGGGTTTTGCTTTTTAAAAAAGTGGATTTTGTGGAGGTGGTGCAATCAGGAACATGGATGTCAATATATAACCTTAACTCTCAAAAAATAAACCATGTTTTTTCTTGCAAGCAAATGCTCTGGAATCCATTATTTATGTCATGTGCACTAGAAGAAAAACAGATTGTTTTCTCATCTTGCAAAAAGAATGTTGAATTACTTGAATGAAATGCAAATAAGGAACCCACACTATTTTTATGCAATCGAGCATAACTTGATGGCTAAATAACAAGCATATTTTGGAACGATTGATGCAAGATGTAAAATAAATTGTAGTCACTTTGGAGGTGTACTTCGTTTTGATCTAATTTATTTATAGAACAAATAAATATAGAATGTAATTTGTAGATATACTCATGGATCAAGTTTGGTCAGATTGAATCTGACATGATATTGCTGCATTTTAAGTAAGCTTAGATTTAAATTTGGTTATATTTTATTTTTCGGATCTTATTTTTTACTCAAATTCGTTTTTACATGCAATAATAAAATCAAAACTTGTCCAAAGCACTAATATTTAAAATTTTTTAAAAAGTTTTTTTAAAATTTTTTTTGTAAATTATTATTTTAATTAATTAAAATTAATTTTAATTAAATTTATAAGTCATTTTGACTTGGTCCAATTTAATTTTGTTGAATGAAATTCAAAATTAGATTATTATTTTGTATAAAAAAAATGAGCTTTATCATATTCTAAGTAATAAAGTAAATAGAACTTGCTCATTATAAAAATAATAATAATAAAGTAAATGAGTTTTATTTTATTATAATAAAAAAATCTTTTTAAAATTTTTAAGTGGAATCAAGTTAAACTAAGGTCTTAAATGTTGAAACCACAGTCCAATCATTTTTTTTTTTTATTGAACTTCATTTATTTATCTAAACTCATTTAAGCCTAATATTTATTTTTAAATCTTTTAAAATTTCAAACCAACTTTGAGTTTGAACGGACCATCCAACCCATGAGCAGGTTTAGTTATTCGTTCTAAGTGTAGGTGGTCATCACCGTTTACCAAAGTTGGCCCTTGCAATTTCATATGCTTATTGTAAGGGCCAACAAATGTAAGAATTGGGCTTTAAATTGCCTTCACCAAAATATGGGGCCGGCGGCTCCTTTTTTGCCATGAGACTAGCCCACTGGACCCCATTCTATTGGGTCTCAATACCCACTCAATCCTCCCGTCCTGGCTAACATAAAAAAATTTCCATTTTAAGGGCATTTGGAAATTCATCTGGAAACTTTCTGGAGAGACCTGCAATGTATTTGAATTTTCTTTGTTTATTTTACTGTGTTTTTCTGAAACTGGCATGACCCTTTCTTAGTCTCTGGATGTCTATTTATAAATTGTTCTCTATCTCATCCACTCCTAGTTCGAACCTTAATGATTAAGAATGTGGTTTAACAAAGCTTAGAAGGTTGTGATTTGAGAAGCTGATTTTTTGAATGTGTTAAGACTTAAGGGCAATGTGAGAATCAAATTCAAACATTAAATTAGTTTTTTTTTTCAATCCACTTTTCCTGAAGATTTTTCACTTGATTATCATGCCTAAGAGCTCTGAACGTGTTTAAAGTTAAACCTTTTAAGTTGGGGTAAAGAATGGAAACTTGGAATACCAACTAATTGCTTGTTTCAAATCAGATTCTTGATTTCTTGTACCATTGGCTTAAACTCTTTAAATGTTGGTTGATCCAAAACATGGGTTTTGGGTTTGCCAGTTATGCAGTCAAGTTGGCAGTTGGAAACCATGTCCTTTTCCACTGCCTTACATTGATTTCAGGCTTCAAATCTTATGGAAGTCTCTGCATATTGATATCACTGTTAACAAAAAGAAACAAGAAACAGGAGGAAAATCTGCCCTTACGAGATAAGTCAACAAAGCTATTAGCAAAAAGTAAAGATGCCTCAAGCTGAACGATGAAGGCTACTCGGGTGTTGCCTACTTTATTGTATTAGTTAGATTGTGATGGAAGAAGATAAGGCCCCATATCCTATCCAATCTATGATGGTTTTTCTCAACAAGAACCAATTCCACCATTTATTCATGACTATCAACTTTCAGCTTTTTGCCAATTCATATGATGTAATTGTTACATTGTATTAGGTAAAATAATTGAAAATGGTCACACTCACATGACTTTTATAAACTATGATTGTCTGATTATTCTTGGACATTTTGTAATAAATAATTCTTTTTTTTTCTTTATAGACATGAAAAATATATAAAATGTAAAAGGTGAATCTGGTTAGGTGCCATAAAAACAAGCCTAGAGGAGGATGAGAATTTAGAACAATCACAGGCAGAACCAGACCAGATTATGATGTCATGATTGTTGTAGAATAGTACAAAGTTTGGTAGTTTATGGGTTCTATCAAATAAATTTGGTTTCTACATCAGGTTTTTTTTTTTTTTTTTGTGTCATAGTTTTCCTCAATTGCTAATGAAACACACCAACTCTTGTCACATGGATCTGCAAATCATTAAGCATAGTTCATTGGCATAGCTAGGTTGAATGGCTTCCAGGCTTTTGATCTAAGATGTAGGTTTTTTTTTCCCTTCATTTTCAAATGCATTTTACTATATATTTTTACCATATCCATCCAAATGTGAAAACCCTATCCCAAAATCATAACAGAATCATTATACAAAATGGGAAAAAAAAAGACAGTTTCTTACAGAGGGACAAGATGGGTGGAATAGACCTTTTTATTCCATCAGAAACTCTGTCTGGAGCTACTTGACATAAAAATGTTGTCTAATTCCAGAACAGTATACGGACACAGATTCTCTTTTACCACATATTCTCTGCCTACCCATTGCAGCCAGCAGCTACATCTCCAGTACTCTTTTCCAAAATTTTGAAACTACACCTTTCTCTTTCCGATTTCTTTCTACATTGCAAGAAACCAAATCCCCAAGTAAAAGATGCTCCCAAGGTTTTTTTTTTGTTTGTTTTTATGAACAGAATCATATTAGTACAGTGGTGATGGGACCTCCCATCATCAACAAGAGAGAAACCGACATCAAGAAAAGCACAAAAAAAGAAAAAGAAAAAGAAAGTAGCATTTTGTTTTTTACTTTGTTTTTTGAGCTGTAAGTTCACAATTGAAGACTATAATAATTAATATCACGCGCATTGAACCATGAACCATGATAAGGACCAGGTGATTGCATGTCCTTGAGTTAAGGGAAAGGGAGAGGAAATACACGTTAGTACACATGTATAAATATATCTATATAAATATAATCGAGATTAGTACAGCAGCCAATTTCAATCCAGGAAAATAGCATGCATTCAGTTTGCCTTTGTTCCCATCGTCAATGTTGACTAGCTATGGTTATGGACACCATTCAAAAAGAGACAAGTGCTTTTGGGACCATACCAAAAACCATAAATAAATTTGAATGCATATAAAATAATGAGAGGGATAGAACTTGGAGGATCGAATAAGGTGTCAAAGTCTGCAAGTAAAGACAGGCAATGAAATGAACAAAACAAAGGAATAGAAGATGCTAGATTAAAAGATTATATCTCCTAACCACTGTGTCCGGGCAAAATCTTTGGAACTCAGGGTTGGTACCTCAGCAGTTAAAGCTACATAACCTTGAGATTGTTTGGACTATGTCTTTCTTCCCTCTCTCCCTTTCATAGCCTTAAATGCCCATTCTTCCTTCTGTTTCTCGTCTTGTTCAGTCCCCGACTGACAGATATGTATGTCTTTCCCTTTAATAGCTAGCCCTGCACATGCACCATCTATCTTCATTTTATTTCTACTTCTTGTTTTCCCTCCTAATCAACAAGCTTTAAACTTAAAAGCATTGAGCTTCATTTTCAACCCCTGCAGGCGGCAACCCTCCAGTCGAATACTGCTCAAATGGCCACAGTTAGGACCACGGCATCCAAGCCAGCGAGGCAACTTGGAGAAATCCTCAAAGAACAGCAAGAACCTTTCATCTTAGAGGTTTACCTTTCAGAAAGAGGGTGTATCAGAAAGAAGTTAACTTCAGGAGCTAATTTCATCTGTTGCCATGGCACTTCAGGCAAGTTTCTAAAGAGGTCTGGTAGCCAGAACAAGATCAAGAAGGGTATTCCGTACTCCCCCATGGTACTTAAAGTTGTATGTAACAAGTTCTTTACAATTAAAGGCTTAAGAACAAAGAGTTCCGTTGATGAAGATGGAAAGCCTAGTGTCACTGAGATGGACGGAAATAGCCAAGAAATTGCAGAGCTAGATAGATTTTCCTCCTCTAGCAGCACAACAGTGTATAATTCATGTTCAGATAGCGACATTTATGAACCATCCATGTTTGCTGACAATTCCAAGTCAAATTTGAAACTCTACGATCAAAGGGAAAAGAAGGTAGAAGAAAAACTTCTTAAAACTCTTTTATCTTTTGCATAAAGCAAGATTCTACTTGATAATCTTAGGAAAATATTAGGTTCTGTTTGCTACTCATAAAGCTAACAGGCTGCTGCAGAGGCAAAGTTTCAATGGAGTTGTATGGAAGACAGTAAACAACACAGCCCTCAGTCAGTGTTAGAAGAAACATCTACTTCAACAGGCTCCCCACTCGATAACAGTTAGTATCTTTAAAGTTTCTAAGCATTCTTAATTATTTTCCTTATGATTTAAATGAATTCATTACTAATTCTCGTGAGTTTAAAACAGCAAGGAGGGCTTCCAGCACAAGGCAGAAAAGCTTCTTCTTGCCTAAGATAATAACGGAAGACTCAATATTGTCAGCTTCGCTCTGGAATTTACTTCTTCAAACCTCACCAGAGAAATCAAGTTATGCAGGATTACGAGGGCCTGACTGGTCTAATTCTTCCCCGTTGTCAATATCGAAAAGGGTTTTGCAGCAAACAAAGCAGCTTCTCTTTGATTGTTTTAGGGAGTTGGTAGATAATAAGCATGTCAAAGAAGAAAAAGGAAAAGGATTTTTAGGGTCTGAGGAGATTGGAAAAGTCATTGGTGAGAAAATAAAGAGATGGGGAAAAAGATGTGGAGATGAATCCAACATGGCCAAGTTGTTGGAATCAGATATAATGGATTCAATCCAGGAATGGAATGAATCTGAATCCCAGAAGAAGCGTATCGTGCTAGAAATTGGAAACGCCATCGCAGAGCAGATTACAAATGAAGTTGTAATGGACATGATTAATGTCCTATAGCTGAGATGTAATTTGCTTGTTTGAAATTTCAATTGTTATTTCACTCACATTGATTTCTGTCGGCTGTTCCTGTCCTGTCTTGTTTAGATTTATTTCATGGTATTAAATTAGTGATGTACCAACAGGGTAGAAAAATTGATCCACAACATCCTTTTTCTCCAATAGAAAATGGAAAGAAAGATTTGGTCTCTTGGCTTTATCTGGAACTCACCCAAAATTTGTTTAAAAGAATGGAATGCCTTACAATACATAATGATCCATTGACATTGACGTCCTAACAGACCATAAAGAAACCCTTTAAATGATTTTCTTAAACCTAATTGCAAAAAAAAAAAATTAAAAAACTTAATTCGAGTTCTATATGTCAGCCAGACAATCCAATCAAACTTTAATGCACATTATAATTTTTATCAGATACTTAAATCTTCTCACATTCCCACTAAGGAAAAAAAATGTAAAATCTTCTTTGCTAATTAATAATTACGTAATATTAACACTAACAAAGTTAAGATGACGTGAACATCCATTTGGAAAAAGGGAGTGTTAATGAATTGCATGTTAGTGAAAAGGTTTTGATTTTTGAACTTATTGCTGAAGGTTGATCATAGTAGTAACACTGTTGTTAATCATGACTTTATATATGAGTCGGTAACAAGCAGATAAAGCGACAGTGCTTGATTGTATGGGCAAGAGTGGATCCAAATGGGACAGTTCGATGTCTATAAACGTCCTTTTAGATTATTAAAAAAAAATTAAAAGAAAATTTCTTTTGATTCGAGATAAAACACCCCATAGCTTTTTAAAGTTGAATGTTGATGGAACAACAACAGCTAATCCGGGGAAGCTCACGGTATAAAGGTTTTTGTGGAGATGATCAAGGAACATGGGTGTGTTTGGTTTTGTCTTACAACTCAAAGACAGCATGTCTAGAGCAAAGTTACATGTTATACGTTGACGGGGCTTAAATTAGCTTGGGGAAAGGGATACATCATACACGTGGAAGCAATTGTAAGATCCTATTCTTTGAAATCTGTCAATAAGGTTAATCAACATTTACAAGAAAAAGATCCACTATGTCTGATAATTCTAGAGTGCAAACAATTTGTTTCTAAAGATTGTCGGCGCAAGCAAATCTACTTGCTTCGGTGGCTAAAGCGAAGTTACTGAAGGTGGTGCATTGTAAGACTGGGGGACTGTTAGGGTATATTAAGACCTCATCTTTTGTCATTTAACAGACTTAGTCGGCTCTAATGTAAACCCAGGCGTTGCCCTAAAGCACTAATACTAGGAAAATAAGTAAAATACTGGTGTTATTAATTTCCAATAGCCTAAATAATCTAGAAACCCCTAAATCTATAGAAAATGACAGTTAAGCTTATAAAATACAACAATGTATCAATAAAATTTCAAGTAGTTTAATCCCCCCAATTGTTTTCTTCGCAATAGGTTAATAGGAAACTACTGGATTTCACCATCCTCACCAAGTTCACCATCTTCCAACTCCTCATAACCACTGTTTCTACGCGACCCATCACGGTGATCTCTTTTGTGCTTTTTATGCCGGTTTTCACTGTCAGTTTCAGGTGAGTGTGCATGCTGCCAATGAAACATTGGAAGAACATTAAAACTAGTTGGATAAATAAACAAATAATCATCAATAGATAGATAGATATACCTTTCTTGATTTCTTACGATCACTGCCATGTCTACGAGACTTCTTCGACTCCACTCTGTCATCCTTGTCAGAACTACCATCATCAGCAGCACTTTGATGTCGTTTACGGTGTTTCCTATCTTTTTCCTTCTCCTTTTTCTTGTCCTCTTTATGGCCATAACTGTCAGATATATCTAAATTCTCACTATCTGTCTCATCCTTTTTAGTTCGTTCCTTACCTTTCTCCCTTTCACGTTCTCTTTCCTTCTCCTTTCTCTCCTTCTCCTTCTCCTTCTCCTTCTCCTTTCGTTTCTCTTTCTCGTCTCTCTCTTTCTCCTTTTTAGCCTGCAAATCAACCAGATAAAGGTTTTAGAAGAAACATATGGTTGTAATCAATATGAAATGAATATCATGCTTCAAAAAATAAAAAATGTACAAGTGCTCATATTCTTTCACACTCTTTTGACATGCATAAGGTTTGAAAGCAACTAAAGTTACTCAATTGTGACCAAAGAGTGAGGTCCATCATAAATTATATCAAAATTGATTTATGAATATATGGGATTTTTAACCACCAACTACTTGGACATTGTAGTTCAAGATTCACACACCTTTTCCTCCTCACGTTTGCGCTCCTTTTCTTTAGCCTTCTCCTGTAAGTGTGCAATGTATTCCTCAAAGATCTCTCTCCTAAAGCTCTCTTCCACAATTGATCTAATAAAAGCGCATGGCAAGAAACCAGCAAGGGGAGGAAATGATCTTAGGATTGAGATGCTCAAGAATGATAAATATCCAGCAAATAAACTCCAAATGGTTGTTCACCTTAAATGCAAAAATAAAGAAAGAAAGAAGGATGCAATACCTGTATTCTTGGCTTTCTTCAAAAAGTGGCTTAGAATCCTCCCAATTAGAAGATGCAGTTATCTCCTGCAAAGCAGCACAACAACCAGAAGTTAAACGAGATGGTCATGGGTAATTATTTAAACGTGTACAAAAGCTATACTGCCCGTTCTGTAAACCAGTGCAACACACCTTATATGTATGTAATAGCTTAGTGAAGTCATCAGCCAGACGCTGACGTTTTTTAGCCTCTTTCTCTTCCTTCTCCTTGGCTCTCTCGAGTAACTCCTCATACACAAGCTGCAAATGATAAAGAATAAACTTATCAATATTCAATCACATGGTTAGTGCTTCATTAAACTAAATACAAGAGAACAAAATACTAAATACACCATCCAACTTAACATTCTAACAAGCACTATTTTAAAGCTCTAAAACTCTGATTAAAAGACAAGATGTGAGGACCTCTAATCATATAAAGTATTCTAGAAGGGTAACATCCATTTATCTCCATAATAATTCTACCAGAGCTTAACGTGTCCTTTTCTTTTTCCATTTGGTTGAAACATGCATTGCAACAGAAGTACCTTTAAGTTTATATCTGATATCGGCAAGGAACCAACATCTTCTGAAATAGCAGCCTTGAAGTCTTCAACTGTCCACGTGGAAACCATGGTAACCTAGGGGGAAGCCAAGAAGGGATTCAATAATGAGAAAGGCCAAGAAGGGATTCAATAATGAGAAAGCACCAAACAGGACCCTGCAAGAAAAATATAGTATCTTACCTTCCTTAACTTCATTGCGTCTTTTATACGGGTTTTGTCTTCATGATACTATCCATGTACAAAAGAAACCATCAGAAACATACGACCACTTTTTTTTCTGCTTGCAAAAAAGAGGAAAAAATGGACACCCAAATCTTACAAAGAATAGATTTGAGGCACACACCTGTTTTTCTAATTCTTCAGTAACATCCTCAAACAAATCTTTTGGTGTTGAACCAGATGTATTAGATGCAACAGCTAAATATTGAGTGCAATCTTTCACCTAGAAATAAATAACAAGAAGACTAAACAAAAAATATTTCCGATGAAGACAAAATACACACCTTGATTAAAGCCACTCCTACTATAAACAAATTAAATAAATAAAAGACCTTCAAACAATAATCTCGCCAGTAAGTTTTAGCCGTAAGAATGCCATCAGCAACATGTTCTTCCATTAGCTTTCGAAATGCATCACGGTTTTTGCGCTCAGCACGTCTCAGTTGTTCCTAAGTTATGTCGAAAGAGAAAATGTAAGAACACAGTTTGGAAGGAAATTAATAATCATACAAATTACCTCTACCTTTTGCATCTTCTTTTTTTCCTCCTCTTCCTTCTCTAATTCATGAATGTAGTCCTGAAATATGAGCAAGCGGTCAATTTTTTCAAGACGTGAGCATCTTTCATCATCCTCTAAGCGATCCTGAACTTTTCGCCACTGGCTGTTTGCCTGCAGATTGAAAGAAAAAGTTCATGAAAATAGCAACCATGCTAACGAGCTTAGCAAAGCAAACAAATTACAATACTCTTTTCTAAATGTTGTACCTTAATAAAATTACAGGATTCCAAAAATTTCCTGTATTCTGCTATATTTCGCCTTTTTTCCTCTGCAGCATTTTCCCTTTCCTGCATTAAATAACAAAAAGTGAGACTACATATTTGAAGTGGTGTTACATTTTTTGCTTGGGATAGTTGCCAACGGATATAGACATATAGTAGTGTGCTGGCATGTGACATGACATTTCCGACCATTTACTTGATGCATCATCCTCAAAAAATTTCCACTAAGCCAGACCGAATCCTAATTGATAAAAGCAAGTACAACATATATCCAAACCAGAAAAAACAGTTTTGCACACATGAATCGTTATTTATTGTTTGACCCATCATGTTTTATGGAAATAGCAGTCATAAATCTGCTGCAGAGATTAGCACAATATTTTTGACAAGATATGTTAAAAACAGAAGCTGCCAAATGTTTCAAGAGTCAAAGAATTAAAATCAGACAGACAAACCAATGATTTTCATAGGTTTAGTTATAAAATTTTAGCCAAAGTGTGTTACTGACTTTTGTTGAAGAAATATGGCTATCTAAGAGGAATGCAAAGATGAGGAACAAGGTGGAATTTCGTAGGTTTTTATTCCTATGGACAACACCTAGGCATTCTATATCTTGACACAACATTCACACACCAAAACCCAATTATATGTGTGAAAGTGAACATCTGCAAAATAAGCGAGAAGTCAAACTATTACCTTCCTCTCAAGATCCACTATGTAGTTTTCAAAAAGATCTTCTCGGTCTCTGGCTCGTTCAACAGCCTTGAACCTCTCATCATTTTCAAACAAACTTTGAGCTTTGCTGAACGGGTAAAAGCTTTAGTTAGAATATTTAACAGTTTCCATATTTAGAATGACAAAGCCACAACAAATCTATTTTTTCCATAATATAGAGAGAAACTTCAACCTCCATCTCATGGATGATGTGAGTTCTTTGGACTCCTGGAACGAAATCAAAGCACCAAGAAAGTATTAGGTCAAATAGAAATATAAACAGGAGAAGAAAAGAAGATAATGAGCTTCATACAACATACTTCCAGCATCTTTAAAAACTCTTCGCGAGCTTTCTTCTGTCTCATGCGCCTTTCCTCAGCCTCTAGCTTTTTCCTTTGACCCAAATACTATTAATAATATCAATTTCATGTCAGAACAAAATGGACAATGCTTGATTTGACTTAAAACATTTATTTACTCATAAACTAAGCAGCAACCAGAGGAATAGTCCA